CCCCCCCCCCTGCACACACACACACCCCCCTCCAAACAAGTCTAGGGAGTCTGTGGAGGCCAAGTGGGGAAACTTTGCCTGGAGATGTGAGTGGAGGAATGACAGGAAAACAGCTCCATGCTGGCCTGGACTCCTTCTGGCCACTGCCAACTTCCTGGTTTGTTTCATGGCCAGCTTGGCTAGAGCCAGGCAGAAGCTGACCAGATCTGTTTGTGGGGAAGCCTGGGCTAGTACCCACAAGGAAACACAACTTCCTCCCCTAAAGGGCAGCCACTGGAGAGGTAACAACTGAATTTGTGGGACAAATAAAAAGAAGGGGAAAGGAATGAGGTCACAGATTTATAACAAAGGTTCTGGAAGGAGACACCGAGCAGAGCACACCCGCTGACACCCACTGCCCCCTGAACTAATCAAGGGAGCCTGTGGCCACCAACCAGTGAAAATGCCCAGGGATGTGAGTGGAAGGTAACCCCACACTTGCCTGGGTTCCTCCTGGCCAGAGCAACCTTCCTGGTGTGGTAAATGGGGGCCAGTACACACTAGGAAACACTATAAGTCTTCCTTAAAAAGTAAGGCCACTAGGTAGACAACAAATCGCTTCTGGATTTTTGGGGATGATTAAAGACATGACAGGGACAGGAGTGAAGTCACTGATTTAAAATGAGTGCACCAAGGGGGACACATCAAGCAGAGCACGCTGGAAAGGGCCCACTGACTGTTGTCCACTGATTCCTTGGACTTGTTCACAGTGAAACTTTGCCAGGAGACGGGATCAGATCAGGGACAGGAGAGTGGCCCCCACAATCCCTGGGAGTCCTCCTGGCCAGAGCCTCCTTTCTGGTGAGATATATCACTAGCTTGGTGAGGGCCAGGAGGAGGTTGAACCAAGAGGTCTTGGGGTTTGGTGGGGCCATGGATCACTGTTCTGACCCAGTATGGTACTACTTATGCTGTTATGGTATGCTAAGACTGGCACTACAGGGAGACTGAATTGGTAAACTTCATTTGCTTTTCTAGTGCTAAATGTTTCTTGTAAGTTACTGCTTTCTCCTGAAGGCAACTGGAATTCCTTCTGCAAGTCACTTTTCTTTACATCAAGAATGTTTTTAAGTAATCTCGTATTGGCTCATTAGAAAGAGCATTGGCATCAGTGGAAGCTCTGGAAGCCTTTGGCTTTCGTACAAATGAGGAATGATGTTAGTTGGGATAGTAAAGGCACCTGAGAGTTCCCTGAACTTGGTCTGACACTATTTCAGGTGAGGTGGGGCAGGCAGGCAGAGGACAGGGTAGCTTTGTCTGTTTTCCTAAGTAGGCCTCTGAGAAGGGCTTGGGGAAGGCTTGCTTGGGCCATTTTATGATGAAATAGTTGGGAG